TCGACTTGTGTTAAGAAAGGCAGAGGTAGACCTAGGAAGACTTGGGCTTATTGTATTAAAAATGATCTTAATTTACTAGAAATAAATGAAAATATGACACTAAATAGGATGCAATGGAGAAAAAGGATTCATGTAGCCGACCCCACGTAGTGGGATTAAGGCTTTGTTATTGTTGTTGTTGTTGTATCGTACCTACTTTTAAAAACACTAAAAATACTTTTTAGGTGTTTTGGTATTTTTTTTTAAACCAACGTGATTTATTTTTTAAAACAAAAAATAAAAACATAAAAATTAGACTAACTGAACATCCTTTTAAAAATAAAAGAAACAACAAAAACAACAATAGAAAACAAAAGTGATGCTAAAGCGGCTCTTAGCTTCACTGGCATAATTATTACCTTCTTCATTCAACAAGACCTTTAATGACTGGTATAACTTGAATTATTTAGGTTTTTTAATAATTGTTTTATGATACAGAAGCACCCCGGAAATCTTCAAGAAGGATTTTCTCAGACTCAAGTTAGCACCATGGCAGTCAAGGATAAGATACTTGTAGCTGGAGGATTTCAAGGAGAGCTCATCTTTAAGGTGACTTTGTTTGTTTGGTTTTCTTATGCCTGTTTTATTACTATGTTTTGGAGGCACGTGGGTCAAACAAGTCTGCTCTGGTGCTGTTATTTCTACCACATGGAGTTTTAAAGTGCATGTCATCATGATGTAGTCATAATATTTTGGGGCATTTACATACTTACCACCCAATTCTTATATATTTACGTATCTAACACCTAAATTACATATTTAAAATGTAAATGCATAATTTTCATCATTTAAAGATTTATCACCCAAATCTTTCATATTACATAAAAAATGCCACCATTTCAACTTTTAAAAAGTGAAATACACCTCTTCATGCATAGGTAAAGTGGTATGCATGTAAAAATTGAAGTTTAGGTGTTAAATATGTAAATACGTAAGAATTTAGTGATATGTATATAAATCTTCCTAATATTCTTTAGGGGTTTAGCAATCCCACTAATAAATGATGAAAAGGTATAAAATAAGCAAAAGCCTCTACTATACAAGAAGTGAGGATTAGAGTCTATTTCACCAATATTTTATTTTCATTGGGGTCATATTGGATAGAGTTTGTTAGAGTTCTTACGGGCTGCAGTAGCCCACCAGGATATTGATAACCATCAATTGATTGCTCTCTTTATTCTATCAGAGTGGTGGTGATCTTTGCTGTAACCGATTAAGGCTGAAATTTCAAGATTGATCAAATGAAGTTATTTTACTTTTTGGTATATCATTTTGAAATTAGGATGCTTTATGTGCGCATGTATCACTGATTTTTCCGTTATAAATGATAGAACTCGGAAAACGCACCAACAGATAACGAAAAAAAAAGTTTTGCTTGAGCAATCTTCAAGACCTATGAGTTCAACAGTGCTGTGGCTGGAAGTTTGGGTTAACGCAAAAGGACATGAAAAAAAAAAGAAATTTCAAGATAAAATCTGTTCAAAATTTTTAAATAAACTAGAAAATGCCACTTTGAACTCAGAAATGCTGTGGATATTTTGAAAGTTGATCTCAAATAGACGATAAAGGATGATGTTGTTTTTCTAATTTAATATTTTTGGTCATAGGACGCAATGTTTTTGGTCATAGCTCGAGCTAATCCAAAAAGACATGAAAAGAAAGGAAAAAAAATGCCAGTTAAAAGCTTTTTAAAAGCATTTTAATGAGCTAGAAAATGATGCTTTGAGCTCGAAGGTATGGTGGGGATATTTAGGAAGTAGATCCACATTGGTGATAAAGGATGACGTAGTTTATATAATTTTATCTTTTTGGTTTTAGGTTATGTTTTCATTGGACACAACAAAAAATTTCAATTTTGCAAGTGATTCTCTTCTATGGTTTTAGTTCACTATTAAATACAATTTGCCAGCAAGATGTAGATGATCTTTAAATAGTAGTCTTCTTATTTGGCCTTACAGGATTTTTTTCCTTTAAATAACACGGGTAAAACAAAGTTTTTGAAAATTTTAATGGGCATTATATAATTTTTTCTTGAGTAAAAAATAAATTACTATGTTACAACTAGTAAACTTGAATGAACCTGGTCATGAAAGCTTCTCACCACGAAAATTTTGAAATATAATGAGAAAGTTATAGTGAAGCATAAGTTTCTAGCGGGTATCGGTAAATTAAATCCGCGAAAATTGCCAATGCACCTTAAAAAACTCATCTTCTTTCAAGACAACTGTTGCTTGTTTTAAGTATGAGTTATCATGGTCCCCTTTATGCTGTTGGTATAGAAGTCATAATATGATATTTGGGCATGTTGAACAAAACCCTGCCTTTGATTAAGCTGTATTGTGTTGGTTCATAAAAAAATGTTTTGAATGAGGTTTTCCACTTTCTATGTTTTAGGTATTGTCTTTTCGTGTCCTTGATCTTGTCATCTTCTTTCATAACTAATGGTTTCAAGTGAAATATTTGCTTTTCTGGGTCATCTATGCGGGTTTTAAAATGACACTATCTTGTTTGGTCAACTAAAAGTTCATTAATGTGCATGCCATACATATCTTATTTTCTACTGCGGTGCTTCAATGATTTATAAAGATTAACAACCCGTTTGGAGCAGCGTTTAAGGGGCATCGTGGCTAAGGAACGCAAATCTCTCCCTTTTGG